ATAGCTGGTCCCCACTCTAATCATGGACCTGTTCTGTTCTTTCCAACCGTCAGCTCCTGAAAGGCGAGTGTCGTTTGAACGCCACGTGGTGAATCTTGATCCCGGGCCTGTCGAGCAAGTTGATCTATCCATTTGCAGGTTCTGAACGGAGACCTTGACATATTTTGATTAAACGAGGAAGTCAATGCATCAGGGACAGAAAATGCTGCCTGCATCATCCATCCATCCTGCCATTTTTTGGGCAAGCCTTCAGCATCCATCCCCAATCTCCGCCAAGGCTGGCCAACAAGCATTGGACATTTGCGGCTCTACCAAGTTGTTATACAACTTGGACACAAGCAAAAGAGTTGATTTCCATGCGTTGCCCAGGGATTCCAGCCAACACTCTGGTGATAACATGTGCCTTGATGTTCCAAAGACCCTGAACAACAGGGTTCTTGCAAATTTCTTTGTTGGTATGAAAGCAGAATCAACCAAAGACGTAGATTCTCGCAGCAAAGGTGTGGCTTTTACATTGCGGTGGACCGCTTCCCCTTGCCTATTTGTCATCTGAACAAATACTGTGAGTTCCCCAAATATTGCGAGTCAAGCTTGCTGAACATGTCTTTCTCACTCGACATCCATGCTTCCTTTGGCCTCATCATTTTTACAAACAACATCTTTCAAGTGACTTGGTTTAAAGGGACACTGTACCCCAGTTGCTGACTTTTAACTCCTGGAAACAGACAGAATCAAAACTTTAGGACCGTCAGTTTGTTACACGTAGGTTGATGTTTGGGCTCGAGGCCTCCTAGGGGGGCCTTGAGTTGGACTGCACCTTGTTTTTGTCGAGCTTCTCGGGTTAGACACATGGTTTGAACAACCTTCGGACTTCCGTTTGGGTTGAGGGAAGTCAGCGGCAGAGCGTCGTTGCAACACATTTGGCCCATGCGTGGTCAAAGGGAACGCCAATGGTGAGTAATTCTTTTGATTGGTGGCTCCCAGCCATCCGGTCCTTTGCTTTTTTGTTGCTTTTTCATGGGTTTCGTCGTTGGGTTTCTGAATTTAACCCACTCTAGGTCCCCCGGCTAGGTGCCCTTTCCAACCCTTTTGGCGGGAGGGTACCCTACTAAAATAGTCCACTGAAAAAAGTGGGTACCCTTATTCTTGACTGCTATTGGGCTTTTTGGGAAATGAAGGGCTTTTCCACTAAACCCACAAACAGTGAAAACACTTTTTGCAGAGGGGTCAACAGCAGCAAAGTATTCTAACCTCTCAAATCTGAAGGACCTAGCGTCACCAACTGCCCACCGGTTTAGCCTGGGCAATCAGCTCGCGAGGCTCTGGTCCGGCCCAGATAGATCCCGAGCGGAGCGGACGTCCGGGGGGCTCGGCGCTCAGCTCCAAACGTGGAGATCGAAACGGAAGTCGAGGAAGGCATCCGACCACCGCAGGTGGAGCTTGGTGATCCACAATCAAGAACCGGGTAGATGAAGGTTGGGACCATCCCAACCATGAATAGCTGCGGATATCCGCTTTCTTAATTCCTTACATGGTTCTGGGTAGACGCTTTTTTACCGGGCTTTGATTTTGACTCTAGTGGTGGACAAGTCCACTTCGCACCACATCCTACCACATGTAAACCTGGAACGTTGCATCTTCATGTGACGCTGTTTGGAAACTATTTTGTAAACCACCATTCGTGATGTGGCTTTTTTGAGCCCTGGAAGGCCCTTCAACATCCATCGCTGGCTGGGACACAGATCCTCAATGGGGTCCACCAAAGGGCTCCCGATTTCAATTCATGACCATGTTAGTAGGGTGTTCAACTCCAAGGTTCAATTTGCGCAACCGTTTCAGTATATGATGGTTCCCAGCCATCCCCTTAGTTTTGTTTAGATGGTTTAGTGGGCGTTTCCATTTAGCCCACTAAAAAATATGCACTGTTGGGGGTCTGAAAAGGGACAGCCCAGAGTAGCAGCAACTGGGGTAAGTGCGTCGCTCCTGAACGCTGGCAAAACCATCGCTTCAGAACGCTGAAACAAAATCGCTTTGGAACGCCGGAAAACGTACTAATCGCTTCGGAACGCTGGAAGTGGAGCCACGTGCCACGCGCAGCACCGAGACACCGGCCCAGAACCAGATTAATTTGCACATTTGAGGATAGAGCTTCAACGGGTGTGCTTATCATGAGCATTTGCACATTTGGGGATAGAGCTTCGGCTGCTTATCATGCCCCCCCAGAACCAGATGTTGCACAGAGCTTCAGCGGGTGTGCTTATCATGCACCCCCCACCCCCAGAACCACACTTGCACATTTGGGGATAGAGCTTCGGGCGGGGGTGCTTATCATGCCCCCCCCCCCCACCCCCCACCCCCAGAACCAGATGAATTTGCACATTTGGGTATAGAGCTTCAGCGGGTGTGCTTATCATGCCCCCCCCCCCACCCCACCCCCCACCCCCAGAACCAGATGAATTTGCACATTTTTTTTGATCGAGCTTCAGCGTGTGTGCTTATCATGGCCCCCCCCCCCCCACCCCCCACCCCGAGAACCAGATGAATTTGCACATTTGGGTGTAGAGCTTCAGCGGGTGTGCTTATCACCCCCCCCCCCACCCCCCCCAGAACCACTAGATTTGCACACCTGGGCTGGGACGCCTGCCTGCGTACGGAAGTGATCCTGGGCTGGGACGCCTGCGTTCGGAAGTGATCTTTTTGACTGGCCGGGTTTTGCAACCCTTTCGGCGTTCCGGGTGCTCAGTGTTTTGAAGTGATTTTGTTTTAGTGTTCGGAAGTGATCGAAAGTGGCAGCGTTCACAAGTGATTTTTTTTAGCGTTCTGAAGTGATTGTCTACCGCAACTGGAAATGGGTGTTCTTTGAAGGCATGTATCTGGGTGAATTATAACGACCTCACACGACCTCACCCAAATGGTGGTTTATGTGGGGAATACCCCCAACCACCGCAAGTTTCACTGTCTGGCCGGCCTTCATTGGGAAGACTTGGCTTGATAGCTCCCAGCCATCCCCTTAGCTTTTTTAGCTCTTCAGTGTGTAGTGGTAGCTTATGTAACCCACTAAGAGTGAAACTTTTGGCGGGGGATATGAGGGCAGCCCAGTTGAGGGTGGCGTCCCATCTATTCTCTACAAAAGCCTGGGGTCCAAATCCGAATCCAAACCAATCCAAACCAACTCAAGGGAAGGCTGAAAGGAGCAGGGGATGGCCAGTTGATGGCCAGTTGCGACACCCAGCGCCTGCCAAAGATTCGCGCGTTCTTTTCTTTTTTTTGCGCCCACGCGCCCTGAACAGGGGCGTGGCACATTTTTTTGGGATACGGCCTGATGCAGGAGTTTGTCCGTCAAACTGATAGCCTCGAAAAGGGGTCCTTTTTCTGCCAGGGTCACTGGGCTTCCAAAGCAGATTTCGGTAGTTGACAGAAAGCTCAACGAGAGTGCATCGTTCAAGTGCGCCACCTTCGACGGGTTTCATTGGGTCGATGATGGCTACATGAGGTTGGCTCAAAGTTAGAAAAGTGTCCTATGCCCTGTTGGGGAAACAAGCCATTTGGCCGTGGCTCAAATGATTGCAGGCATTTGCTCCTATGATTGCGTCTTCGTTGGGATTTACTGTAGTTACCTCTCAGCCCCATTCTAATCAAACATAGGCCTTCAATTTGTGTTCGGCCGCTCAGGAAGAAGTTTTGAGCTGCGCAAAGCCGCACGAAGAGACCTACTAGCTGCTTGTGGCGCTGCGAAGAAAAGGCTCCTTTGTACGTGGTCGGCGGAAATTGGGTTTCAAGCCCATCTGTGATTCCAAGAAAAAACTCCCATCAAAGTGACGAGGTCGTCATGAGGCTGGTCGGAATCACAAAGAGGGTTGCTTTCCAGCGATGCAGTGTTTCGGGCTGAATGATTTCATGGGAACTGGGGGGGACTGGGGGGGATTGGGGGTGGTGCCGCACGCCCCATGAGTATGTGTCACCCAGACATCTTTGCTTGGCGCCTGTGAGTGTCGTAGCACGACAATGGGACGAAACAAAAACCTCGATCATGGGGCTGGAAATCAGAGAAGGATCCGCTCGTCGAATTTCAAACGGTGGCGTTATGGCATTCTGAACGTGTACCTCTCGCTCTCTGCGTTGTTTGTTGTTTCTGGCTAAATCATTTGACGTGGTTTTCTTGGGATCATGACCAGTTTAACGTACCCCACAACCTCATTCCAATTGTGTTTGGGTCCTCTCTCTCTGAAATGTTTAGTGAGGAGCCCTGATTTCAGGATTCCAAGAAGTGGATGCCGATCGCAAGAGGACAACCATGTGTTTTGTATTTTTCGCATCCGATGTCAGGAACCCATTGAATGGGTCATCCAATTTCGTTTGATAAAGTTGCTTGCTTCTGCAAGCAAAGATAAGCTCCAAAACCAGTCATTGTCAATGGAAGAAAACCAGGCACTGATAGTGGAGCAGAGCATCGAAAGGCAGAGCCTCCAAGTGGTTGGATTCAAGGGAGTCAGGCACGTGCCGATGTTATTCTGAGATTGGAAGCGACCCTCTCCCAACTATCAGGCAACCCCCTGGTCGGTGGTTTGGACTGGTGGTTTGGGGAATTGAACCTTTGTGCTGGGGCAAGAAACCACCCGGGCTCCAAACCGCCAATGGGAAACTGAAACTACTCCAGAACATCTAGCCCAGCTTATAGCATGTTCGCCTGTGAAAACCAACACCCCGGACAGAAAACAACTGCACCTGCAAAGGGTTCCCTCCCCAGAACACGTGTCCGTCTTCCGCCCTTTCAGGCCCTTTCTGCGTTCCAAGGATCGATCTATTTTCGCGATTCTTTTTCGCGGCTCCAGGACATCCCTAGGGAGTCAGCCTACGATTCGATCACATCCCGCGACCCCAGACCTTCCGTCGAGCATGGCGTTGGTGGAGCAGATGGCGGAGCTCAGCCTCGAGCCCAAGGCGGGCAGTGGGCAAGTCGGATCGGGAATTTCCTCCGGTTTTATGGCCCGGTCCCCCAGCAACTGGTGCCCTTTCAATCACCTTTCTTTTTTGGTTCGGAGGGTAAAAGCCCTACTAAAATAGACTCCAGAAAAAAGTTGGTACCCTTATTCTAACCTCTCTACTGGAGGACCTAGATTGGAAACGTCCGGTTTCGGGGTGAGGGGAAATTATGGTAATTATCCCAGGGCTGAACAAGAGTATCTTGGGGGATCAAGAAGGGGGGTGTGCCATGGAAGAAGGAATCTCCGGATCACTCACGACTCTATGAGGGCGGACTTTTGGAACCACAAAGAAAGTCACCAGGGCTGTTTGGTGAAAGGAGGCTTTCCACTGGACCAGATCTTTGAGAAAGGATCGTCAAGGATGGCTGGAGTTGTCTCACCAATCAGGTTTCTTTTGGGTCGATTGATTTTGCAGCAGCTGTTCTCTGGCTTCGTGTTGGTCGATGGTAACCACTAGCTTCGGATTGCGGAGGTCCAAGGAACTGCTCTATCGTTCTTTGATTGCCAGGGTCCTCCTATTAATGAATCCGAAGCTCACGAAGGTGAATAGATCCCTTCTCGGATCGGATTTCGAGTGGGAGAGTTTGGGAGAATTGCACGCAAGGGAGCCTCGATGAGAGAGGGGCTTTGTGTTAGTGGAATTGAGGGCTTATAAGGGGTGGGCCCGCAAAAAAGACAGATGTTTAGACCATTGACAACCCAGCCCAATTTCCAATATAGATATGTAGTTAACAACTGGTGACACTTGTTGTCGTCATCAAGTTTCGATGGCAGATGCCTTCAGGAATCCTGGACACTTCTTGGAAGCCTCTCATATGACCCACTGCTCAGCGGGTTGGCTTCCTTTCGGCTTCGTCGACATTTTACGCATCGAGGCGGATCACTCAAGATTTTAATGTGGATCATTTGCACATGGCAATTTTGTCATTCCAGTTCCCCCTGGTTACTTGTGGCTTTCGTTTGGGTTCATGAGTTTCGGCTCCCTTGGGGTATCCTCGTTCCCTGTACGTTTGCTTCTGGCTTCCCTTGAAAGCAAGGGTGTTTTCTCCCGCTTTTACGAGACCAGAAACCTTCCCTTTCGACAATGAGCATCACAGCAGCAGTTCCCACTAGGTCTACCGACATGGTACTCGGCCCAGGCGGTGCAGACGCGCCTGGTGCAGTTCAAGGTGTCGGGGCTGGAGGCGTTTCAGCTGGAGCTGGATGCGGAGAGCCGTGTGCGCCGGGTGGCTCAAGGATGGATCGACGGATGGCCCGTTTCTTTTTTGGTTGGGAGGGTTCCCCTACTAAAGTAGACTACAGACAAAATTGGGTACCCTTATTCTAACCGCTCTACTGGAGGACCTAGTAGGTGCTTGTAGGGCACCGTTTGGGGAGGCCCTCGCGACCCAAAGGCGGAAAAACGGAGTTGTTCAAGGGAAATCAATCCGCGTTTTGGGTTCAAGGACAAAGCCCGGATGCAAAAAGGAGGAGGGGCTTGATTGAGCCCGAAGGTCGACCCCGGATGGATCAGCCTGGGCTTCCTCCCCACCATACTTGGTATTGCGCTATCTGTGCAGCAGCTTTAGCAGGAAGATAAGTGATGCTCTCGGGGACCTAATCCAAAAACAACACAATAAATTCTTACGTACGTTACTAAAAATATTGAGCTTGATGACTGGTTTGGTGTTGGTTGCTCCAGCTTGGGCCGGGAGCGAAGTGATGCTCTTGCGGGTCTAAGCCACGAGACAGGGCGGAGCTGTGCACTTCTTGAGTGCATGTCTGGTGCTGAGACTCCAAGGTGACGTGAAGAAGCTGGCCAACGAGGAGTGCAACATCGAGCCTGAGCACATGCGCCTCATCTACAACAGCCGACAGCTCAAGGATTGGGACACCCTGGAGTGCTACGATCCCAAGGCGCGTGATTCTTGTGGAGAAGAAGTCGGGACTCAATTTGCAGCCACTTTCACTGCTCTGAACCGGCTGTTTAGCATTTGGTTGTGTCGTTTTTGAGGGACCCCCCAAAATGGTTGGTTTTCTTTTGGTTTTCTTTTAAGCCCATCAAACAAAGGGGTAGCAACTCCAAAAGAGACGAGCCACCCATCTGGCTTTGTGGGCGTTCCAGGCGGACATCCCGGTGCAGATCCTCTTCACCGCGGGACACACGGAGCTGCTGGGAGGCGATCCACAGCGATCGCATCGAATTCCGAGGGCTGAGGGTCATACTGTGGAGGGTTGCGAAATCCATTTCGCACCTTCTAAGCAACCCTGGTTTCAGTTGATTCCCCGATACCAACAAAACATGGTTTCAACCATGGTTTCAAAGTGGTGCGAAATGGATTTCGTCCATCCAAAGTACGTGCTTCTGCTGTGAGAAGCTTACCCTTGACCAAGCTCAGGCGTGAAGCTCTCTCATGGGAGCCCTCAGGCTCATGACCGCATTGAACTTCCAGAGATCCTTGTGTCCTGGACGCTCAAGCAACCCGAACACATTGTCGTAGACGAGCAGGGAATTTTCCTGTTTAACTTTGAGTGTCCAAATTGACAAAACGCGGGGGTTCTACTTCCCCCCCCGGCCCACCCCCCACCCCCAACACACCACCCACACAACGCGGACACGCGACCGGGGGCGCTTCGCTTTGGCCAGGTGTGGGCGGCACAGGCGGCGGCCCCCGCCAGGGCCACGGCTCCAAGCCCCAGAAGAACCCCTTCAGCGGCCCAGTGCGCGGGCTCCCCGGCTCCAAGGCGCGGACGGAAGTCGACGAGCCGTGAGACCTTGGTTTGTCGGTTGGTGGGTGGATTGGTGGGTGGGTTGGTTTCGGCTTTTCTCGGGGGATGTAAGGATTTCCCCTTTGGAAACGTTGATTGAAGAACCCCTGGTCGATTTTGATCCGAAGGTGTCCCATTGTGAGAGGACCCAATATGCACCTTTACACCCCTGTACAAACAAAATGTGTGTGTTTCTCAAAACAGCGGCCCCCTCCACGATGTTGGTTGCCTTTTGGTTTCCCATTCAAACCATGCTGAAGGGGGATCCCATATCCTCAGACACACCCATATGTCTAACTTTCCTTACACAAAAATGAACAATAAAAGCTGACTGGTGACTGGAGGCCATTCAGAACACCGTGTTTCTCTAGAAACCTATCAGCGTCTTTGGTGGAGAGTAACTGGCCTTGCCTAGAGGTCAAACCCCTCGATCGTTCCATTAGTCATGGCAAACAGGCAAACAACCTGGGCCGGGCAATTCAAACCCTTGTTTGAGCATATTCCATCCACTAGTCAAGCAACTTCCATTGAAAGTATTTCCTGTAAAGGGGGCCGAATGGTTTGGTTGTTGTTTTTACATTGAGCCCACCCCAGTTGAGTGAACCTTGCGGATTGATAGGGCTGGAGGAAACTCGGATCCACCGACAATCATGTCGATAGAACCGAATTGCGATGTAGGGTTTCTAATCGCGTCGTAGACACACCTGCATCACTAATCTAATCCATCTGCAATCAAAAACTATTTAACATGTTCATTTGTATCCTGTTATCATTATGTTGATGATGTATCATCACTTTAAATTATTGCTATCCATCCAGATTGATGTCATGATTTTGGGAGCTCAGTTTATCTCAATGTCATCATATCATCATTCGAGGGGCTTTGGGGCAGACGAGGAAGTCCCAGAGTAGGTTTTGCATGGACCCATTCCCACAAAAAAGGGTTTTGGGT